AGCCTCGAAGGCTACAACATCATAATTCATACAAAAGGACTCATAAATGCAAATGCAACATAGACTCAATGCATGTGGTACCAATCATCACAGCACGATGGACACTGGACCATCAACCCTCCATAGATCCCCATCAATAGGATCAATTTTACTAGAGAACCGGAGCACATCAAAATACTTCACATCCACATAATGGGATTGAAGCCAAAGTAATCGAGGTCCTGAATCGAAGTCCGGATGCACATGAATGCATGATGCACACGTCACAAATCATCCTCATAATAACAACATAGGTGCATCATCATTCATCATATCCATCATCACATTAATCATCACCATATCTCATGGCATCATATAATTCATCAAAGTCATGGTAATATCATCATATTAAGTCATATAAATCATCATGTCATCATGTATACATCACATTAAACGCATAGTCATACTCATGTTAATTCATCACAGAAATCACAAAATCAAACATCAAGGTATCGCTGCACACGATCAACATTCGCGAAACTCGGCTACGTTCGCTGGCATGTTCGCTAGGCGAGTCTGGGGCGAGTTTCTTCACTGGGCGAAGGATTCTTCGCTAGGCAAGTCTGTGAACAACATTGTTCGCTAGGCGAACTGCGCGATGACAGCAAATTCTACTACGCACCAGAACCTAAATCCATCCAAAAAGCCCCACGATTCACTTACCCAATGCCCCCAAAACATCCCTAAATCATCCCTAAGGTCTCACGGCGATAAAGGCACAAAACTTACGGTTCATAGGGTCAATCCCGTGACATATTCACGTCCTAAATCACAATTTTCCCTTCAATTACACCCTACTCATTAGGATTACTCACTATTCAATATTCCTATCCCTACAGGGTCAGACATATAACAATTCAAGTTTTGGCCACGAAGGCCTATGTTTCCCTTTTTCCCATTGAACCCACAGTTAGATAAATAACCAATTTAGGTCACAAAGGCCAAAGATCACTATTTCCCATCTCTACCCTTAAAATCCCTTAAACCTCAAATCATCCATAATTACATTAAAAGTTACACATGGAAAATCATGAAAGGCTACCCATACCTTAATCGTTGCTTCCAAGCCGTCACGAATCTTTCAGGGAACCTTTCGGAACTTCTGCCACTAAATCTTCTCCTCAGAGCTCTGGCCACAAATCTTTTCACGGCTAACAAATGAATCCTAATTCTCCATAATTCCCTTTTGTTAAACCTAGACTTGGGCCTCACAATTGGGTTTTTCCCATAATGCCCTCACTTACTCCTCTCGAATGTCCTAATTGCCCTTATTTCTCTTATATTTATTTTAATTCATAATAATATCAATAAATTCATATTACATACTATTATTTAAAATAAATAACCCCAAAAATGCATAATTCTCAATACTCCACAAAATCACCGAAAAATCACTGACAAATGAATATTCTCAATTAAATAAATAAATTAAAATATTCCAATTAAATTTGGGGTGTTACACAAAGATTCTTGAAAGAACACTGAGGATTATCAAATAGCTTGTTATTTACGGAAAAGTTCTTTCATATTCGTTGTTGTGCGCACATTTTGAATCTCATTGTTCAAGATGGATTAAAGGTAGTTGGTGATGCATTGCATAAAATTAGACAAAGTGTGACTTATGTAAAGGTAACCGAAAGTAGAACACTACAATTCCATGAATGTGTTAGTAATGTTGGTGAGATTGATACAACAACTGGATTAAGATTCGATTGTGTTACTAGATGGAACTCCGCTTTTATAATGCTCAAGAGTGTGATTAATTCTCATCCGAGATTCAAATTTTAAGTGTTGTCCTTCAACAATGTCAAATGATGTGTGAACTTTTGAAGCTATTCTACAATGTCAAGAGTGGGCAAGATCTGAAATAATGTGTGAACTCTTAAAGTCATTCTACAATATTACAAACTTGATCTTCGAATCTTCTTATCCTACTTCTAATTTGTACTTTGGGAAAATATGGAAGATTAGAGTGTCTTTCGAATTCTTATATGACAAATGAAGATTCTTTGATTCAAGACATGACTACAAAAATGAGGGAATATTTTAACAAGTATTGGAGTGAGTATAATGTTATCTTGGCCTTTGGTGCTATTCTTGATCCAACAAAAAAAATTAACTTTTTGAATTTTGCATATAAAAAAATTGACGATACAACAAGTGAAGACAAATGCAGAAAAGATTAAGGGTGAGTTGTATGAGCTTTATGTGGAATATGTCAAACATGAGATTTCTTCTAATCCTAACTTTTCACAAGTGCGGCCTTTTTTTTTGGAGGAGGAAAAGAATCTTTGGCATCCTCATTGTATATTTGTGAAGTAAGTGCAAACTATTCTTTTTCTCTCTCTTACAAATGCAATTTATTGTTATTTCTAAATTTAAATTTTTATCATTGTTTGCATGCATACTTTGTCGAAATTTGAAGAGCATGAAAGTCAAGCAAATAACAATACTGAAAAATATGAACTTGGTTCTTATTTAGATGAGTAAAGGTTGCCTCTATCGGTTGATTTTGATAACTTGGCTTATTGGAAGGAAAAAAGTCGTTGATGTCTCAATCTTGCAAGAATGGTTTGTGATACATTGAGCATTTCTCTCGAGTTTTAAACAAGTATAGAAGTTCAATGAAAGAGGAATCAGCTCAAGTTCTTAGGGCACAAGGAGTTGGTTATATGGTATTGAAGGTGACCTTGTTACTTTTTTTCAAGTGTATCATAGATTTATAATATTGCATGTTATTTACTCATGTTATAAATGATATATATTTTTTAACTACTATTTTTCTTATTTTGTAGAATTAAATAATGACATTAATACTAATCAAGATGGTTTAAGTGGACAAGCATCCAACACATTTGAACGTGTGAATTTCTTTGAAGAAAACTCAAGCGACGTTGCAAGTCAAGTTAGAACTATTTGATTTTGTGTTAAGTTTGATAACTTAAAACTTGTTATTTTGTGAAAGTTACATGTTGGATATTGTGCTATCATAATTCATGTACCTTATTTTGTGTTATCATATAACTTAAAACTGTATATTTTGTTATAAGTTATACGTTAGATAATTGTGTAATTTGTGTGTAACTTGTTGGAAGTTACATGGTGGATAATTTTGTGTGTAATTTATTGAAAGTTACATGTTACATGTTGGATAATTTGTGTGTAATTTGTTAAAAATTACATGTGGATAATTGTGTTAGGGAGAATTACTTAGCCCAGACAAAGTTGAGACAAGGTTGGGCTGGGTAGTAAAAAGAGAGTCCATATTCAAAATGGACTTTTGGGGCTCGGCTCAGAAAAGCCTGAGACCCGTCAGAACCGGCCGTTTAGGGCCAAATAATCCATTTTGACAGCTCTAGCAAGCATAATGCTTCTAGATTTGATCCAATGAATAGTTGGTGATGATTCGCTTTTTTACTTCCAATTCCAAAATCAGGAAGTAGCTCCACAAGACAGAGAATTGAGAAATAGCTTGCACCGACCGTGTAACTAAAACTTTTCTTTTCAATCTTCTAGTAAAAAATCAAAAGGGCACGTTTAAAATGCAGATATATATGATATCATTACTAGACTATATTCATAACTATGTTCTTGTCAACTAAATAACAATCTTATTACAATTCATTGATACAACTTATAGCAACGCAGGCAACGTATTGCTAATAACCTCAAAGCCTTACATGAATTGCTTCCAAATCAAGGGGTAATCTCTTGTTTATGATTTAACATATGTCGAAACAACGTCAAGAAGTTATTTCTGATGAATTTGATATACTAGTACTTAAGCATCTTTACACATACTGAATTTCACAAAATTTACTTATAATGAACTGAATTCTTAACTTGCAGGATAGTCAAGCTCAATCTTACATACTGGATGATATCATCGCCTATGTTAAATACTTGCATAATCAATTAAAGGTAACTTTTTAAGTCCTAATATTATCATCAATTTCAAATTGAAATTCTACAATAGCTAAGGAAATTGTTCCTTTGCAGAAACTAAGTGGAAGTAAATTGCAAATTGATTCACAAATGCTATACCACTAGTTTTTCATGAGGTGCACATCTTTCTTTTATATCAGTAATACATTATTTTGTTCTCTGAATTCAGCTCCAAGCAAATAACTTCTTATAGCATGCTGTCAAATTCATTAACAGTAGAGTTTGATTTTTTGATATATTTATTACAGGGTTATGGGCATTATACAAAGGATCAATTGCTGAATGAGCCTCTTGAAGAGATAACAAGGAAACTAGTTGAAGAAAATTCGGCAGTAACAAGTCAGCTACTTGAAAGCAAAGGTCTTATTCTACTTCCTATTGCTCTGGTTGAAGAATTGAACCAAGCTATGAAATTGTTGAACCAAGCTAGCTAGCTAGCTAACTAACTATTTAGGGTGATATGATATCTATTTACTGTATTTGAATCATTATGGATGAAAACCAAATTAACATAGTTAGGCCCAAGGTAGTCAAACATGGGATCTTAAGTAGGATCGGACGGTCTGTGAAAGATCGTAAAACTAGGATCCTAGCCCGACACGTTAAGATCTTACTGAAGGGCAAAATGGTAATTTAACATACACACACAAAACACACTTCTTGAAACTCTTTTGTACTAGGAGGTAGTGTGTAATGCTGTTTCAAATTATTTTATATATTTAAATTATGAGTCTTCATTATTCTATCAACTTAAATCTCAATGTTGTATGAAAAGTTTATCAAATTATTTTTATTTCAAGACTTTTATTTTGATAAACAATATTTCATCTGAGCCTGTCACGCAAGCTCCTGGCGTTGAAGATCGAAAACCTGCCTAGAAATAATTTTAAATATATTATTTCATTCCACAACAAGGTTCATTATGCAAACTTCCCAACCATGATAGCTACCACATCAGAAATTAGCATATCTGAAATCAATATTTAGATATTTAAAGTTTCCTTAACAATGCAATTTCAATTTGTAACAACCTGTTTTTTCTTTGACTTCTTTCCCACTCCACGTTTTGCTTTCTTATCATTTTCAGCTTGCCGCAATGACTCTTCTTCACGAATGAGTTCTTCTTGTCTCTTTAGGGCAACAGCTTCTTGATAAGCAACCTCAATTTTGTTGCTGTGCACATGACATTAGGAATCAGGATTTCTAACTAATTGTATTCAATACATATAGAACTAAGGTGGTGCAGTCATAGTGAAACAAAAAGTATGCCTTCTTTAATTCCAGATACACTATTAAGAACTTATTAATTTTTCATTCTATCCCAAATCATCAGTTTTCTTGTAAAAATGAAATTCCACATACTTCGTAACAAGACTACTTCATATTCATGCATAACCATTGAAGATGTGACGCACAATGGAGGAAATCAATTCTCCAGCAAGTATATCATACATTGAAAACGTATGTAAGCATAAATCCATATTTTAGTTTACATGGGAGGTGATTAGTTTGATCCTTGGTATATCCTTAAGTTCCCCATATTGAACTTAAGGATCAATATTTATGAAAGATCATATACCCGATTAAGATATGAACAGATAAACTTTTACAGTTCCAAATGTACACGGGAATCAAAAAGAAACGACCATACCATGGAAGTACATGGGAATCCAAAAGAAACGGTCAAACCATGGCAATACCTTGAAATTGCAAAGGAGCTATCCATGCATTAACCATTTCTTACAGATTACTAATTAAATTAATGGTGTCTACTTCCCCACTTTATCAGCAAATAAACAGTACCCAGACAGATAAAATTCGGTAGTGTATGAGCATGCCATTAAGTTGAGAAACAGAATGAAACTAATTACAAAAGTATTGTTTAAGTTACCTGAATATATGAGCAAGGACAAATATTTCAAAAGTCCTGCGCCCTAATTCGGTGAGACGCCTTTCATCACGCTCCATAGAATCTTTATTGAAATCCTCCCCAGAGTTTCCATCCTGTAAAAACATGGGAAACAGGTTCTTAGCAATCAAAAGGATTCCAAAACTATAAAACCAAATAGGGTCATATATACCATAGCCCTTTTGTTACTTATAATAATAAACCGGGCTACTAAAGATACCATTCCAAATGTCTAATATATGCATCAACTTTCAGTAGGTTAGATTTGTTTCTTTTTAAAATTATATAGGTAAAAATGTAAGGTGCCGTTAATTAACATCAGAAATATAACATCCACGAGATTTGGTTTTAAAAGAAAAGGCAACAAAGCATAAATTGAATTCATGTTGGAAAGGAAATAGTTCAGTTGGTGGTGATCAAATAGTTAAAAATACAATGTCAAAGCTATCAAGCATGTGCAATTTTAGAATAACTAATCCATATTTAAACCCATTATTAATTTATAGGGATGAAAAATTAGATGGCCAGCTGATGGAAGAATTGAAAAACCTAAATCTAAACATATTCAATCCAAAATACAGTATCCAAGTTTTCAGTATAACTTTTTACAGATTTCAACAAATTGGCATGACTTTGATCTACTCTTTTATTCAAAACTAAGTCCTCTGAAAATCCCTAGCCAAAGTTCCATTAATATCATCACATGTCAATTGGGTCAATCCTGATGTATATCACCATCTATTAGGTGTCAACATATAAATCCTTAGTTACTTTAATAAATACTACTCTACATCTTACCTTTGTAAGATTTTGAGGACCATTTTCATCTTTTGGAGGGAGTGGTTCTATAGCAGCCCTTTCAAGAAGTGGTAAAACGTCATCCGCCAGTACAAACATGTTCTTTTCAACACGGACAATAGGTGCTGCTATTTCTTCAGAATCCAACAATTTTACCAAACCTTTCTTGCTAGTCTGGCCCTCAAGAGCCTTCAATCCACTATACAAGGAATCCATTACCAAAGAAGAAGTGACTACATTCTCAATAAAAAAGTGTTTCACTACAGCTTTTAAAATTACATCTGTCTTCTCCCTGGACATCCGGGACCTAGATGTTTGGTCAATGTCCCTCAAGAAATCAAAGAAACTGCATATTGAAAATTACTGTATAATCAACTTATAAAATCAGACACCCACAACCAAGGTTGTTAAAATCAAGAGTTAAAGCAAACTTGTTTGTTTATGTGAAATCGAGTAATACAAGTTTAACTTATTTAAATAATATATACATGATATATATTTATATCATACAATAAATGCACAAGTTTAACTCGTTAAAATAATATATACATGATGTATATTTATATCATACAATAAATGCATAAATAATTCAAAATTTCAACTCAGTTATAAAGTAAACACTGACATGACCAAAATTCAACTAACAAATAAGAAAAGGAGCCAAATGTGAAGACTGAGATGAAGAAAAAGATTTTAAAAAATTGTTCAAACATTTTATGTGATTTTACCCGAGTTCACTACAAGTTTATCATCCCAACAAACTCGGTTTCATTTCAGAGTTTACAGCTAAGTCAATCCAAACTCAAATTCCCGAGTTCATAGCATTAAGTGTAGATATTAATGGCTTTATGTTACTCGCGTATTAATAGCATTAAATTAGTTTAAATACTTCGGCTATATTAAGAGGTTCATTGGTACGTTGAATTTTCCGAATTCTTCAAGAATTTTCATTAACTGGTCCGGCAGATTATGTAACTTAGAGCCTGACACAAGTAGCAATGGATACTAACACATTCATTATTTAAACCAGGAAACAGTGTCATTGCAATAAATTTGAAATGGTGATAATATAAAATCAGATTTTATTTCTAAAAGGGTGTAATTTCAGAATGCATATGCACAAAACTGGGCAAAAACAGGCGGTTGTTATAATACAACAAACCATGGTTGACGCTTTGATCTAACAAAGGAACTCAATCACTTATGTAACTTTTCTTCCCAATTGTCCAAACTTTTTCACCTTTCTGGATTGAAAAGGAAATAAGTCAACCCAGAAATTGATTTTTCATGTTTTCATGTAGATGTATGGAGTGCTATTATTAATAGTGGGTGTCAAAGAAAAATGTAAGGATCCTTGCTTTTATTAGGCGACGCTTTGATGCAAGATAACATTTACAGCATACATCATGTGACAAAAAAGATTAAGCATAGCATGTTAGAAGCAAGACAGTTTTAAAGGAAAGCACAAAGTAACTTGACCACCTAGCTTTATCCTCAATCAACTTCCCAAGCTTGCTTCTTTCCTCCACAAAACTTTGTTCTACATCTTTCAAATATACCGTAGCAAGTTCCCTCCTATAATGAGAATCAAGACAACGGAATAACCTGTCTGATTTCTCCCTGCATCAACAACCAATAAAAAATACAATGTCACCCGTCTGAATTAAATGCTCCAAGTCAATGTGCAAACAAGATTGGCATGTGAATGTCAATCTCTGGGGTCTTAAATACATGAATTTAAGAATGGAATACCTGATGACTTGAACTTGAGCTTTTATTATCAAATTATCAGAAGTGTCAACAAATCCGTCATACACCTTTGACAGCTCCATAAACTTTTTCCATCCCCAGTCATGCTGATCCTTCCTAAATCGGTGCAATGTATCTGAAAAACTCAAGAACAACTAATGAGTAGTGATGATAGAAAAAATTGTCATCTCCATTAACTAAGCCAGTTACTAGCTAACAAACCAGAATATTTTGATTTCTTTGGGTCTTTATTGACCACAGAAATTGTAAATTGTGCAAAATGACTCCATCCTGTATCACCCCAATGAGAAAAGTGAAAATAAGTCAAATACTATGGAACAAACTTTAGTACGTAAAAGTTAACTAACAATTAATTATTAATGTAAAACTGAGAAACAGATTACTGATTCTACCTGGAAGAAGTTTGTCATGATTAGCTACACACAGAAACAGCGACAGATGATTGTTTACATCAAAACCTAGTGGATAAATTAAAATATACCTGCCAATAACCAGAGAATGATGTTTTGATAGAATTAATGCTACAGGACCACAAAACATTTATGCGTACAAATAGTTCTAAAAGAGTAAGACTGTCAATCAAAGTGAAGCAGCACATTTCCATAAGTTCATCTAGACCCTCATACCATTTGTAGCCTCCAACCTCAAACGCATTACTGCGAAGTTCCCTATTGATAATCCGGGAAAACTTTTCTATCTTCCATGTATATTTCCCATATAACTCGGAAGGTTTTGGTCCTACAAGGAGAAGTAAGAATTTTAACATTTTCATGGGAAAAAATTTAGCAATCATTTAGGAGAGAGTATAATCCAATTGTCCATGAAAACATAAGCTAAGTTTAATAAAGAACAAAGGTGTCAAATATAAGCTTTGTGAGAGAAACACCACATACTCACCCAAAACCTTAAACCTTAAGGTGATAGATGTATGGGTTCTCTCACTTATAAATGCTCAAGTCACCACATTTCTATCCAACGTGGGACTATTATCCACCCTACTCACGCTTGTTAATACTTAACATGCTAGACAAATGAATTTACCGTCATCGTCTTCCTCCGAGTCCCAATAAGGGGGAGAAGTAGCTGTGATTCCATTCTCCACCTGCTGAGATGATCTCCATTCCGCCAATGCTTCCCTGGTACTAGTCTGCCCACGCGACTTACCCACTCCAGACTTCTCACTCAACACCCCAGCCATTCCCTGAAAACAAGTCATAAAATCAAAACCCTAAAAGTAAAAACGGATATTCGGATCAAAGTAAACTGAAACAAAACCGAATTACATACTAGATAAACCAAAGCACAACGAGATTGCAGAACCAACTCAATGAAGCCAAATTAAAAAAATAAAAAAATAAAAAAACCTTAAAAATTCACAATGATAACAAAAATCAACGCCGATTACCAGAAACAGCCAAAAGAAATTATTGAATTCGATTAAAAGGGTTGAGCAGCAACAGAGACAGAGACATAACCCGTAGGAATAGGGAAAGTTTCCTTCTTTTTTTTTTCTTTTTTGTATAATAGAGAAAGTTTCCTTTTTTGATTTTTTTTTTTGGTATTAATAGAGAAAGTTTTCTTTTTTTTAATGGAGTAGATGATACTACTACTACGTAGTAAATATACTCATCATGACTAAACTTTGGAATTTTTTTTAAATTAACCATGTATGGGTTACTTTTTACTAAAAAAACAAAATATTTAAAAGATTGACGAAAGTGTTTAAGAGCTAGCAGGAATTTTGGAAGTTTCTTGTACGATTCCTCCCAATTTTCAAACACCCTTTCAACCGCTTTAGTTCTGACAATCCAGGCTTTTCGATACGAAGGAGTGTAATTGTATCTTTGAACCATATGCGCAATTATGGTACTCACCTTCAAAGACGGGTTGTCGCTAACGACTGACAGAATCTCATCGCAAATCAATCGAGAGCTGAATTTGCGATGGTCTTGCATCGGATTCGAGATTATACAACTGTGGGACGGACCCATTGACCCTATCTTCCAGGAATCGCTTCCCTTCCTAAAAGACGCTGTTAATCGGAACGGGCACTCCTCGTTACGACAATAGATCGTATACCGCATCGGATTTGTCCGATCAACTCTATAATCGACTGACAACTCCATGTGAAACTGTTTGATTGCCCGGACACAATCTTCTTTGGTACGAAACTCGTCACCCTCTTGTAGCTGCCCTTCTGTTGTGTAGTTGGGGTCGTAGAAAATATTTGTCGAGGTTTCATCGTCACCCAAGTCGAGAGTTGTCATGTGTTGAAGTGGACAATAAACATTGTCGGGTGGAACCCCGTCCTCTTGGTTGTTCACCATCTCGTCAACAGTGACTTCAGTTGCTTCTTCTTCTTCGTCAACAACATTGACTTCAGTGTGTTCATCGTCAGAATCGCAAAAAACTTGAAAAGAATCAAGTTGCTGAGACTGTTGTTGTTGTTGTTGTAACGTAACATATAACACGATATCTGAAAAACCAGAATACTCGTGACTCCGGAACATGTTACGCACATCTTCATCGTCTCGCACCTTTAACGGGAAAAATTTACATTCAACATGGCCGCCAAAAAACACTGGGTTTTTGTATATTATTTGCCCAACTGGACCACATTGTAGTTTTTTTTTCTATTCTTGACTTCAGGTGTAAAAAATTAGACCTTTTGTCAATTAAAAATCTTGTAACATCAGTGTTTCTGAAATTGTAACCTGATACTTCATATTCGAAAACTTCACCATTAAGGTGTGCGAAAATCATATATTATGGTGTCTGAGACATAGCGAAAATTGTGTTTGGAAAGACTGTATTAAAGAGTTTAGTGTTTGAGTGTTTGAGTGTTTAAGGAGTTTAAAGACTTTATTAAATAGTTTTAGTGTTTTAGTGTTTGAGTGTTTGGAAATCTGTCTCGTGAGTTGATTCCCTGCATGGTTGCATGCAACATGCTTGATAAGACAGGATAGGGCAAGACTCTGTGTTTCACATGTAACCCTGCATGCCTACAATGTCTCTATAGGTCTACAAGATTCTTATCCTGCATGCAGCATGCTTGATAAGATAGGACAGGGCAATACTCTGCGTTTCACATGTGACCCTGCATGCAGCATGCTTGATAAGACAGGACAGGGCAAGAATCTGCTTTTCACATGTGACCCTGCATAAAAAAGACTCTGATAGTATGAAATCTTTTTATATTTATTTCAATTAAATCTATTTTACAATTTTAAGAGGTGGCATAAATTACATGTATTTGGATATGTATTACACTAAACAAACTATATGTTTTTAATTTTAAAAAAAACATAATAATAAATATAAGAAAAACTCACTAAAAACTCACCATGGAAATACTCTATACAACGGTTAAAAAACAAATCAACCTAAAAAATCAATGCCTTAATATGAAATCAAAGACATGCAGTATGCTTGAGAAGACAAGACAATGCAAGACTCTGTGTTTCACATGTGACCCTGCATGCAGCATGTGACCCTGCATGCCTACAATTACATGCATCAGGACACTTGTCACGCATGCTTGATAAGACAGGACAATGCAAGAATCTGCGTTTCACATGTGACCCTGCATGCCTACATTGACCCTGCAGGCCTACGAGATTCTCTTTCTGCATGCGTTTACTGTAACGCCCCGATTTCGACTATTCCTTTTTCGTTGAGTCCTTTTTGGTTTAATTGGGCGAATATTATTTGAATGTGGAATTTGTGTGGAAATATGTTAAGTTTGCATATTATTCTATTTTAACCGATTTTGGGAGTTTTCGGAGAAAATAGTTTGGAGGGTATTTTGGACATTTCCTATTTAATGTTAAATGAGATATTTTATGAGATATGGAATTAGTTGATGTTTTGGAAAATAATGAGAAAGATATAAAAGAGGAAATAGAAAGGAAAGAAAATGAAAAAGAAAGAAGAAGAGGAGAAAGAGAAGAGAAAGAAGAGAAAACCTAGATTCTTCAAGATCAACCAAAGCTTGCGATTAATCAGGTAAGGGTGAGAAGTTCTATCATCTTAATAATGTATAAGATCATATATGTACTAGATTTGGATTTGTTTGGTAGTTTCTACACTTTCCATTTTTAGGTCGAAATTGGATTAATCGATAGAAATCGTTGTTTAACGGTTAGAATCGTGTTTAGATGATGTAGATTAGTCGGTATATGTTAGACTAAGGCTACTGGAACGACATTGGATTTAATCGGGTGATTTTGGTGAGTTTGGAAGTGCTAGGACAGAACTGAATGTTGTTGTTCGCAGGCGACTCGCCAGCAGCTCGCTAGGCGAGCAGGCCGCGAGCACTCGTTAGCAACTCGCTAGGCGAGTGCGTAGCAAATGGTCCCAGACTTGGGACAGTAAGGTTTTGACATTCTTCGCTGGAGGCGAAGGGAGTGGCGAATGAGTCGCTGATGGTTCGCTGTGGCGAACGAGGTAGCGAACGAAGTCTAGAGCTTCTGTTTATGCTCGCTAGCAGTTCGCTAGGCGAGCAGGTAGCGAACGCTCGCTAGCAGCTCGCTAGGCGAGCGTGTAGCGAACGTAGCAGGATGAGCCTTCCCTGTTGCTTCGTGCTGTTTTGGCTTGGGGTTTCGGTTGCGATCGACCTCTTCTTGATTTGAGTAGCTTGTATGCTAGTTATGATGTGTTGTGGGTAGCCGTATGGCGTGAATCCTAGTTTATGAATTGTGAAGTGTGGAATGTGGTCGTTTGGCATTTTGGTGCATTACTTGAATGTAATAGAAATGCATGATGAGATTATATGATGAATGTATGTATGTATTGTGATATGTATATATAGTGGATGCATAATGAATATATGCAATGAATGTGAAGAATGCATGAGCATGTTCGCAAACGTGGTTGCATTTCAAGAAGTGTATGAAGTACATTCTTGTGCTGTTGACTCTTAGGAGAGTCTGATGAGTGGTGTGACTCTTAGGAGAGTCTGATGAATGAAGTGATTCCTAGGAGAATCTGATGAACGAATTGATTCCTCGGAGAACCTGATGAAAGATGTGATTCCTCGGAGAATCTGCTAAATGACTTGATTCCTCGGAGAATCTGATGAACGGTGTGATTCCTCGAAGAATCTGATGAACGGTGTGATTCCTCGGAGAATCTGATGAACGGTGTGATTCCTCGGAGAATCTGATGAATGGTGTGATTCCTAGGAGAGTCTGATGAGTGATGTGATTTCTATGAAGATCTGATGAGTTATAGGATACCCATGAGGGGTGGGAGTGAATTGATTCTTAGGAGAATCTGACGGACGATTAAGTCGATAATGTGTTGCATTTGCGTAGAGTAGCGAGTTGGCCTCTATGATTTGCGTGTTGACATCTGTGCATGATGTATGGCGAAATAAGCATGTTGTGTATGTTTATTAGAATAATGTAAAAGGTGTGAATGACATAATGAAATGCTTGAAGATATATATATATATATATATATATATATATATATATATATATATATATATATATATATATATATATATATATATATATATATATATATATATATATATATATATATATATATATATATATATATATATATATATATATATATATATATATATATATATATATATATATATATATATATATATATATATATATATATATATATATATATATATATATATATATATATATATATATATATATATATATATATATATATATATATATATATATATATATATATATATATATATATATATATATATATATATATATATATATATATATATATATGAATGAATATATGTATATGTGTGTAACATGTATGAATGTTCATGAATGGATATAAACCTTAATGATGCATATTGTTTATGCTTGATGTTCTATTTGTAAATAGACTTTAGTGGATACATTGCGATGTACGATGTGAGTCGTGGTGAGAAAGCGTAAGATGCATGATTGTGGATATGATGTATATATATATATATATATATATATATATATATATATATATATATATATATATATATATATATATATATATATATATATATATATATATATATATATATATATATATATATATATATATATATATATATATATATATATATATATATATATATATATATATATATATATATATATATATATATATATATATATATATATATATATATATATATATATATATATATATATATATATATATATGCCTTTA